GTTAAATTAGCACTCAACACCCCACAAATAGAAACTGTATCAATGACCAAATTTGATCTATTATAATGTTACATCAAAATTCACTGAATTATCATGCTTTTCTTCAAAATAGGTTTTAAGCATTTTTAATGCCACATGAACAGGTGGCCAGAACCAGTTTAACATCTCATCTCATCCAAAGAATAGTGTCTCAAACAATGTAGCACTCTGTCATTGCTACTGCACAAAAGGTTCAAAGTTAAAATCCTGAAATAGAATGCTTGGGATTCATGAACTGTGAATTCAATGTAATAATCGCCAGGGGCAATGCAGCAAATAAATACGACTTCTAAATAAAATATCTGAAGCGGGTTTTATAAAGTGTCTCACAAGACCATTATGGTAAAGGAGAAAATCCAGTGGAATTCAGAATTAGCAAAGTGAACTGACAGACGAGTTAGCAAAAAGATCAATTGGAAAACATTGATTTCTTTACATCAAAAAAGACCTACAGAATCTCAGCAGGGGTTTCCTCTCCAAATTTGATCATTATTGTCACAAACTTTACTGTGTATTTCCCCATCTTCCTCTTGGCCTCCAAACATTACAAGAGCAACACCAACAAGCAGAAATGTTACATTCTACTGTAGTGCCATTCTGCACCATAATGAGGGATACAGTATTCACAAAAAAAGCAACAAAAGAAAATCTGACATCTCAAGATCAAGCACTTTGAGATGTCCTCCAGATGTGAAAGGCGGTGTATAAATGTAAATGTGATTGTTTTGTATTAATGCACTTCAAAATCCTGCCTTCGCTTAGATGCAATATTTCATGGCATCTAAGCAAAGGTATATTTCATATTTCATTACAACCAAAGGGAAAAAATTACAGCCCACGGCCTTTTTGTTTTTTTATTAGAATTTTTGTTGCTTAGAATGCAAAGTGCCATTTTTTATCATTTTGATGTCAAGTGAAATTGGTAGGTGATACAATTAGATCGATTTAATAACCGTTGATTTAGAATTCTGCAAAAGTTGATTCCATTACTTCTCAACAGTTTAAAGACTTTATTAAATCTGATCACCCAACAAGCAACTGTTACATCCAAGGCTGATTTGTATCCAATTGTTTTCTTTACCTATATCCTAATACTTGCCTGAATTTGATATAAATATTTTAAAAAATCAGTAAACATTAATATTCACAATACTTTTACTGTGATATTCAGCAATCCAACATGTATACATTTTCTATTTTAACAATACCAGAAGATGAAGAATTAAGAAAAATGAATCGAGCTTTAGAAAATGGTGTCTACTGGGGTTCTCGGTCAGCAGAAGAGAGGAGGAGCCTGAAAACAACAACAACAACAAACATTTGTATAGCGCCTTTCATGTCAGGAGGACATCCCAAGGTGCTGACATGCACTTGTTGTGAATGTCTCCATTGTTACCTATATAAAGTGGCCGTTTCGGGCTCCTATGCTACCACAAGCACTGTAGTGTATGCATGCGTATCCACAATGCAAGATCCTGATCTCATTTTCCCTGCCAAGCAAAGTTTTTTTAAACCATTGTATGGTTTCATCAATCATTGAAATAAAGACATTACAAACTAAACTTGCTGTTGGTGTATGTAGAAATTGAGACAGTATAAGAGTGGTATTGTTTCTAAGAGTTTAAACCAATATTCCTCTGACAGTGAAGCACAATTCTAGTAGTTATGGGGGCGGGGACGGGGGAGAGAGAAAACAAGGAAATGGTACGACAGTTTTCAACTTATTGAAGGTTTCTAAGTTCCTCTTCTGAAATTAAATTAGCTCTAAAAAGCCACTAATGTACCATGTCCCAAATATTAGCTTTCTAGCAAGGGGAATGGAGGGTGGGGGAAACTGGGCATTGGAGATTACCCACTTCTTTCCAAATATACCACATGCAGGTTGTATATACTCCACTAGGCAGGTACTTTAGGCATTTGATTTTTAGTAGATACGGAGGAACCAGACACGGTAATACCATGTTTTGATAAAATTTATAATCAAACGCAACATCCGTGTTACAGTTGGAATGTTATCACAGATAAAAGTGCCAATTTGCAAATATTTGCGACACGGTCCATTTAATCACTCAGCAGCTGAAATCCAAACAGGAGCTCTAAATATTTCATTAAATAAAAGAATATTTTGCACAGCGACTTTAAAAGAATTCTCAAATCATGTAACTGTTGTCTCTAGATTGGCCTATTACCAAATGTCTAGAACTGTGTTCTCATGGTACTGCACTTGTCACACTGGTACTCTGTTGAATTTTTATTTATTTATGCCAATATCAAATGTGTAAGAAAACATTTCTAGTGCCAGCCCATTATGTGCCAGGCAAGACTACCTTATCACACATCACTTGAGTAGAGCTGTGACCTTCTGACCCAAGCCTCAGTTAGTGAATGACTCCTTCAGAAGTGGAGAGGAGAAAACAACAGCTTTACCAATAGACAGCTCATTGTTTTCTGATTTTGTAACCCCTACACCAACTCTTCCCGACATGTAAAAGGAATTTAGATGTACATATGAGGGAGAAGGGAATAGAAGGCAAATAGAGGGATTAAAGAGTGGATGAAGGGCTTGTGTGAAGTATAAACACCAACACAGAATAGTGGGGCCAAATGGCCTGTTTCCATGCTGTACAGTCTATGTAAATCTATGGAACAGACAGCTATCAGTGTAAGTGGGGTTTGCGCAAGCCATGTTTCACTTGTATGGAGCTCTGTTCCTCTGTTCCTGGCCCGCAGTGCTTGGGGAGTTTCTTCTCACTCAAATGGTGCCAGTGCTTTCTCGCAAAGCAAATACTGCACTTGGATTCTCATTTCCCTGTGTGCGCTATTTACACCAGACAAACTCGTCAAAATCAGATGATTTTTCAAGGGATGACTGAAGAATAGTTTGATAGATTCTATTTCTATATTTGGATCAGTTATGGGCTGAGCCAACAAAAAAGTGCAGCTGTACTTTCCCCGTGGAATCCCCTACAAACGCCCGACTCCCCTGCAAACCTGTATAAACACAGTGAGCTCAGGGCCCTGAGTCTCTGTGCTGTTTGCTCGACGCTGCTACTGTGGGTGGAGCAGCTCCGCGAGCGGAAAATCGGCATGGAATTAAAGGCAATGTATTAGCATGGATTGGAGAGTGGCTAAATGGAAGAAAACAGAGAGTAGGGATAAACATTTCAGTTTGGCAGGATGTGACTAGTGGAGTGCCACGAGGATCAGTGCTTGGGCCTCAATTATTTACAGTCTATATTAATGATTTAGATGAGGAAATAGAGCTTAATATATCTAAATTCGCGGACGATATGAAGATAGGTGGGAGAGTAAGCTGTGAGGATGGCACACAAAGAATGCAAAGGGAAATAGGCAGTCCTAGGTGAGTGGGCAAGAAGGGGGCAGATGGAGTATAACGTGGGGAAGTGTGAAGTTATTCACCTTGGTAGTAAAAATAGAAAATCGGATTATTTTCTAGAGGAGGAGAGACTAGGTAGTGTTAGTACTCAGAGGGATTTGGGTGTCCTTGAACACCAGTCACAAAAAATTAGTATGCAGGTACAGCAAGCAACTAGGAAGGCTAACGCCATGTTGGCGTTCATTGCAAAAGGGTTAGAGTACAAGAGCAGGGAAGTCTTGCTGCAGTTGTATAAGGCCTTGGTGAGACTGCACCTAGAATATTGTGTGCAGTTTTGGTGTCTTTATTTAAGAAAGGACATACTCGCCTTAGAGGAGGTGCAATGTAGATTCACCAGGTTGGTTCCTGGGATGAGGGGGTTGACCTATGAGGATAAGTTGAGTAAACTAGGCCTATATTCTCTAGAATATAGAAGAATTAGAGATGAACTTACAGAAACCTATAAGATTCTTAAGGATCTTGACAGGGTAGATGACGTGAGACTGTTTTCCCTGGTTGGAGAATCTAAAACTAGGGGTTATAGTCTCAGGATTAAGGGTCAGTCTTTTCGAACTGAGTTAAGGAAATGTTTCTTCACTTAGGGGGTAGTGAATTTGTGGAATTCTCTAACCCAGAAGGCTGTGGATGCTCAGTTCTTGAACATATTCAAGATTGAGGTTGATAGATTTCTAAAGGATAGAGGGATTAAGGGATGTGGGGATAGGGCGGGTAAATGGAATCAGGTTAAAAGATCACCCATGATCTTATTCACTGGCGGGGCAGGCTCGAGGGGCCGAATGGCCTACTCCTGCGTCTTATGGCCCAGTCTAGGCTGAACTGCGACAAATACATGGTTAGTTGCTGTACTATTCACATTAAATTTTTAATATTTTAAACATAACTGCGTGTTCAGGAAATGTGTCTCTAGTTTTAATCTGAGTTGTTTCACAAAATACGTCTCTGAACAGCACCAACCAACCCTCTGCAATTTTCCACAAGGCCTTACAAAATGGACCGCAATTTTTGGCAAATATATCCGCACTTTTCTATTGGCCCAAGTTATGAGTTTACTGTACTGCACACAGTCAGCTCTATGCTTTTCCTCTAACCTGTCCTGATTTTTCAAAAATCTTTTCCATCATGTCCCAAGTGAACTGCACTTATTTCTCAACAATTCTCATTCTCAATTTTTTTGTTCTGCTTTTTAGTTCCCCCTATGTATTTTATCATAAATATTGGATTCCAAATGCAACTTCTTAAATTATCTGCTGCTCAATAATTCAAAGTTTGCCTCTTTCTATTGCATATGATGCACTGCTCTTCCTTTCTGACCATTTTTGCTTGGCTTGCTATCCAAAATCCTCCTACTCTGCTGTCACACACTTGTGAGGACTCAGAAAAAAACGTCATGTGAATAAATAAGCTTAATTTAACATTAAAGCCTCACAGCATTCACACCTACCAAACCTAAAATGGAAAAATATATATCTACGTCCCCTTTGCACCCCTTACCCACAGTGGCACCAAAGGCTTAATATCTGAATTGACAGCTATAAGAAAAGGTATTAAAAATATCTTCACTTACTACTGCACAGTTTTGGAGAAGATGCGTTGCAATATCTTTTGTGACAGCCGTGTGAGTCACATCAAAACAACCACGGACATGGTCTTATTTTGGCTCTGCAGTAACAAAAATAAACTCAGTCAGTACTGCTACCGCACAAACAAAATAAAAAACAAATCTTGAAACTCAAGTGATCAAGTGTAAAATTTACCTCAGAGCCTAAATTACATTTTTAAACTCGTTCAGTCTTTCTTTCCAGGTGCTCTCTCGAGAGGTTCATTATAGTAACCATCCTTACATTTGATATAGCGCCTTTCATATCAAGAGGATGTCTGAAAACGCTTCAAAAGATTTACTTTCATGGTAGGTCAATTTGAGCACAGAAAAATGCCACAAAATGAATGACCAATTTTATCTGTGGGAATGTTGCCTGGGTCACCAGGGGAAACTCCCTTCTCTTTTTGAATAGTGCTAAGGTGTGTTTTACATCCACCTGAACAGGCAGACGGGACCTCAGCTCAACATCCCATCCAAAGGATATCAAACATCTTCCACAATGCAGCGCTACCCCTAGACTGTATGAGTTCATAATCCTGACGTGGGGCGTGAACCCACATTCTGACTCAAAGGCCGAGTATGCAGCTAACTGAGCAAGACTGACGAGGAGCAGTGGGCCCTGGATAAAAGGCCAATCACGGCTGATGCAGTGCTGAGCCACACACACCAGAAAAAAGTTGCAGATCTCAGTCAGAGCAGCAGTTGAGTATTAAACGCCCCCCGGTTAGGAAAGGAGGGGAAGGGTACAAAAATCAACCGTGATTAGGAAGGGTGCGGAGAGGAAAATGAGCCAAGGCCCTGATCACTATCTTGTTGTAAGACATTGGAAGGTATATCTTTATGTAGATGAGAGGATCAAGATCAGGCTCGCCTAAAATTACTCCCCCTCCCTCAGTCAAATAGCCTTTAATGGGCTGATTTAAGAGAACCAGTTAGCGTGCACTGAGCCTGAACTGGACAGAAAGAAATAGCAGTAAAATATGTTTAGGAGAACACAGGGAGAAAGATTGGCAAGAAAGTAATGCTCACAGAGGCATCTCTTACACACACCACACCCATCCACCACAGACACACACACCCACCTAACACGCACATCCACCCACCACACACACACACACAAACAAACACCCACCCAGCCCTCCCACCCACCACACGCACACAGCCCCCCCACCCACCACACGCACCATACGCGCGCAGCCCTCCCACCCACCACACCCACCATACGCGCGCAGCCCTCCCACCCACCACACGCACACAGCCCCCCACCCACCACACACACCATACGCGCGCAGCCCTCCCACCCACCACACGCACACAGCCCCCCCACCCACCACATGCACCAGACACACACACAGACACCCACCACACACACAGACACACGCAAAACAAAGGAGTCTGTGTATGTTTTTGGTCTGTTATTTAAACTAAAGCTATGATTGATCCACATATCCAAACACAAGTTGTCTGTTGAAGACATAAGGTTTTGCCCTGAACACATTTGTAATTGGCGTGTGCACTCTCTTCTCCTCTTCCCAAGTGACGAGTCAGCTTGCTCCTTTTATGCTGCGTGTCAAGCATGTAACTTTATAACACAGACAGACTAGAGAACGGTGGAGTATGTTCTACTGGGACGACAATTCAAGGTTTGCATTTCATCAGGAGCACCATTTGGTCCTTCATTTGATTGCTGGCTGTTGAAACAGTTTTGATACTGAGCCAGGGGAAGGTCACATACAATAATGTTCTCTGTACCAAAGCTTTACACAGTAATGTATACATTACACACGTTCAGAAGTTTACCCATAGGACTCAAGCTCAATGTATGGTATCAGCTATTTGCTACTAAGTTATGAAAGAATATTGTCCTCTGAATAGAGTTAATGGTAGCAAAACAAAAATTACTGCAGATGCTGGAAATCAGTTAATGTTAGATTGGAAAGCCAACTCATCAGATGCATTATCAAATTAACGCTTTCTTTGTTGAAGAGCCTCAACTTTAAAAATGCACTCTCCAATTCTGGCACGTTATTTCACAAACTATTTAATATTAGAAGTATTCCTGGCTTACAACCAAAACCACTTCCCCATCCTCCCAACACCCCCGCCCCCCACCCAACCTTGTACCATGTTACATGATGAAGAGATGGAAGGACAAGCTGCTTGCTGTCAGACATCCGTCAGTGGCTTCTTGTAATCGGGCACTAAAATAACCCACTACAGAGCAAAGTGGACTTGTGCTTTGATCCTACCTCCCTGCCTGAAAGTGCCTCTGGTCAATCACCTCTCGCAGACACTGAACATGATCAGAACATCAGCATGTTTAGAACCATGGGGTCAGAGTTCAGCTTCGACAAATCTGTGGAGCAGCCAATTTTTGCACAGATGCTCCAAATCACACAGCTCTTTCCTTTTAAATTTATAACTTGATCAAAGATTGATTTAGTCTTTATGCTGCAATGTAATATTTTAGACACACATACTGCTTAAAAGTATTCATTTTTTGCTGGAAGAATGGATAAACCATATGCAAGACAATTTCCCTGGGAAGTCTTTAGTCAAAATCCTGCTGGTCCAACCACATCAGCACCAGCATATGGGCAGTTATGGAACAAGGTCAAACAATTGACCTTCAAGTCAAGAATGGAGCCCTTATCATGACAATAAAATAAGTTTTCACTAAATCAGTGGATTGTACATATAATACACTGGGGAGAAGCTTTGTATTTCATAATCCATGCATTACACAGAGAGACTTCATTAATTTCTGGAGCCGATCATTTACTACAACACTAGGTGCTATTTCACTCTCCTTACACATGACCCCCTCCCAAAAGTTTAATATGCATTCTTTTTAAAAAATCAATAAAACTGCAGTTTAACACTCACCCAGAACTTCCTGCAGCACTGCATGCTCAGTAATAAACTGTAGATTCCTCTACTCAGCGACTTCCAAATTTGATTTGTTTAAAATACTTGAAATTCTTAACTAGGCTAAGAACAGGAAAATAAAGATTCTGCACAGATTACCTTTCTGATACACAATTCCTAACAGAAATGAGGTAGGTGACTTGGCATCAATCTCACTGCTGATTTGACTTGTAGGACACAGACTGCAGTGGTCCACATTAACTCTGCATTCCTATTTTCTCTCCTGGTGGCAGAGAAGTAACCTCCATTTGATTGTATTCTACCATCCCTCGCCACGGTCCCAAATCTGCATTCACAGCAGCCTACTGTAAAGCAATAATGAACCAACGTACTCTTTCATGTCACAAAACAAGTCAAACTGAAACTAAACAAATAAAACAAGAGCATTAATTTTGCTGTGCAGCTTAAGAAGTGCTGAACTACAAAGTAAACACATGTAGAAATTAGATAACGTAAACAAAACAGAAAAACAACATTTGCAGTAAGCAAGAAAGCAAGTTCTCTATAATGCTCTGGAAAATAACTAATGAGTGAGTCCATTTTATAAGATGTGAGGCAAACCACAAAACTGCTATATCATCAGAAGAATTTTAACAGGGAATGATTGTGAAAATTACTGCATTTGGCCCACTTTTTGGAAATTAATAAAATAAACTATTAGGATACAGCAAACCACAAAAATGCAATATTAAGTGCCACCTAAACATTTCCAAAGGATTTTATTTTCCTGCAGCATGGATGGAAGGTCAGGTGATTTTTTTCTTTTTAACAGAAAAAGCAAGAAGTATAGGTTAAATAAAAAGCAAATACTGTTGTCTCATATGTCACCAGCCTGGTGGGCTAATATGTCACTAATATTTGTAATTGCACTGGTAACAAGCTAAAAAGGATGCTAACATTCTGGAGTAAAAGTTTGACCGCTTTAGGAAGTGCAGTAGGAAGGAAGCTGTGGTTTGAGCTCTCCATTGTGCACACTTCAAGGGATTAAGAGGCCAAACATTCCTCTACAGAAAGGATGGGAGTTATGTAAGAGTACCATCTCATGCTTTCCATCAGCCTGTCAAGCAGCAAAATTGAAAGTAGCTTGTAAGGAGTTGTCACCTTCTTAGATAAGGAATGGAATACAACCTGGGAAGACACTAAAAAATTAAACTGATCATTCATCATCTTCCCCCTCCTGAGATATTTGCACAGCACAAAACAAATGTACTCAACTATATAATTCACCCATTAAATACACCGTCAATTCACTTTATCAATTCACTTTACGGTGTATTCTGTGAAGCGCTTAGAGACGTTTTAACGACCTGATAAGGCGCTATATCAAATGCAAGAATTATTATTGTTATTATCGTTATTCAATGGATTTGTAGTCCCATGTCAGGGCTTTGAGCTCATAATCTAGGCTAACACTCCAGTGCTGTGCTGGAAGAGCATTGCATTGTCGGAGAAGCTGTCCTTAAAATGAAAATTAAATCATGGTCCCATCTACCTGTTTAGATGAGAACAAGATTCCCTGGTGTCCTGGGCAACCCAGATGTAATCGCTCATTTACTTGGTTGTTTATGAAAGACATTGCTATGTGCGAACTGACTACCATGTTTGCCTACAAATACAGTGACTACACTTCACAGAAAGCATTTTGAGATCTTGACATTGTACGCCCTGCATCAAATGCAATATTTATTACTATTTACTATTATTTATTCATTTGCAAAGAATATTTTAAACAAAGTAGCTGATGTTCTGATGCAACTACTCACCGATAACATTCATCCCACCAATTAAACTGCCTCGATACTATATCAGAATTAAATTTGACATTTTCTATTTGAATATGACAAGCATTGGGTGTCATATTAAAATTTCTGGTTACAATCGTGCTCACAATGTTTCTTTCAGTTAAAATAGACCAATGCACCATTTCTCCTTTTCGTCTCATCTCTCTTCTAGTACATGAATTAAAGACAGAAAAAAAATATCCCTCCACCAATACGGCAACACACACTCGCCTGCAGCACTACATTATTTGTAACCAACCTACGCATCAATTTTGAGGACTACTCCATCTCAATTACAGAGCTGATATTAGAAGCACTTATAAAAGTAATTTCGGCAAATATCCAATGCA